TTACATTCTTAGTCTCTCTTGTCCTAGGATATGTGTGTTCTTTAGCTCTGTCAGTCGGACCCACTCTTGCCAGGCTTTTATCTAGAAGCCCATGAGGCAAGAAAAAGGACTCTATTCTGAGAAGGCACTGGCAACTTTATCCCATCTGTAGAAGCACCAAAAGCAGAGGTTCTAGAAAGAGTTCCCAGTGCTTGGGATTAGAACTCTTGAGTCCAGGTTTCTCGAGTGGGCTGAGTCTTAATATGATTTGGGGTTGTGTTTCTGACTACAAGTCTCCAAATCTGGTTCTCAAGTCTTTCTGAAAATGTGGTAAGCTAGCTAAAATCCCTTAATAAATTAATTTTTCTGCTTGAACTAGCCACAATTGGTTTCTGTTGTTTGCAGCTGAGGACTTTGAGTAATAGAATTAAAAATGAAGAAGAGCAAATTTTGGAGATGGAGAGAGACCAGGTGTTTGTGACATCATTCAGATTCTTGGATACAGCTACAAATGGAAGCCAAAACTCCCCTTTCCCCTTGATTTTTCAGTTGTATGAACCAATGAATTCTCCTTTTCTTTAAGCCAATTTGGGCTGAGTTTTTTAAATCCCAACTGTTACAATATTGTATTTTTCTTCTCTATTCTTATGTCCTTTATCTTTTCGTGCATTTGTGATAAAATTTAAAATAAATAATACTTTTATTTAATAAATAATACTTAAAAAAAGCTGGCCCATATAATCCTCATGGAGGCTGTTCATTACTGTGATCCAGTTCTATTAACAGGGCCAGGCATCTGTTTTCTCTTTAATATCAGTTGAAGTCAGAACAGAATTTGACACTGTTACTTCCATTTTTCTTTCCTATAAATTCTTCAGTTGTTTTAGCTTTCCATTTTCTTTGTAAAATTAACTCATGGGAAGTGAAAGAAAATGCATGATTTTTTCTGATTTCTAAGTACTATTAACTTAAAACACACTTGACACTTATTAATGTTTAAACATTAAAAACTCACACAGCTGCATGTACTTTTATAATAATCTGCCTACATTGCATTGTAAAAACAGAAAGTACACATCCACTCAAATTGATGGTCTCCTCCCAGTGAAAGTGTTTCTAGAGTACAGAGTATAATTTGCTAAAATCTTTGACATCGGGGTTCTTTTTTTGTCATTATAATTTCTGGCACATGCATTTTACACAAATATTGGTCAAGGGATATTGCTCTTCTCTTCCCAAAGTTACTGCTTCTCAAATGTTTGTGAAACACAAATATATACTTTTAAAAAGCTTTTATGGAACAGGCTCACGTGGGTCAATGAGTTTACTCACTGGCATGTGATTTGGATTTTCATCAAACCAGACAATCATGATGAAACCAAAATGAAAATGTCAACTTATTTGAGTGGATACAACTGTGTTATTTAGAAAAATTTAAAAGCATGTGGACATAACATACTGACACAAACATAATATTAGACTTCTTTTTGTTCTTTAGTTTTAAAAATATAGTTCATTCTTATGATTACAAAAAAGTAAATATATTAACTTTGTTAAACTTCAGGAAAATTCAAAAGGAAAAAAGTATCCATAATGTCACCATCAGATATAACTAATATTTTGGAATAGTGTCTTTAAATCTTCTAACTGGGCATAGATTTTTTTAAAATATATTTTTTCTTTTTTTGAGATAATTACCTCCATATAATTTGGTATAATGCTTTTTTATTAACTTCATTACAAAATAATTTAAAAACATTGATTTTGCATCATCTGCAATTTTAATAAAATTACTGCATTGCCTGACACTGTTACTTTGCTTTCAAATATGGGAATGTACAAAATTATGGAACTATAATCCTAATTTATAATCACTACAGATATAAAATAAAGTCTTAGTTTTTATAGTCTTATGTATTTGGTATTGTTAGGTTAAAAAATATAAATAATCTTATTTAATCTTCTAAATTATCTTGAATGATATATAAAAGAAGTAGCATTAGCTTAATTGAGGTGGAGCTGGGGCCAAGGGAGTAGGATTGAATGTGTACTATAGGAAGTCAGGAGACCTGACCAGCCAAATGAATCAACTCTGTGACTGTGATAATTACTTTTTTGTGTCAAATTTGCTAGACTGTGGTGCCTAGTTGTTTGGTCAAATGCCAGTCTAGATGTTGCTGTAAAGGTATTTTTTAGATGTAATTAACATTTACAGGGTGCCTGGGTGGCTCTGTCAGTTAAGTGTCTGCCTTTGGCTCAAGTCATGATCCCAGGGTCCTGGGATCGAGCCCCACGTGGGCTCCCTGTTCAGTGGGGAGCCTGCTTGTCCCTCTGCCTGCCGCTCTCCCTGCTTGTGTGGTCTCTCTTTCTCTCTCTCTCAAATAAATAAAATTAAAATTAAAATCTTAAAAAAACCCATTTACAATCAGTTGACTAAATGAATCAAATTATCCTCTGCTTATATATGGGTGGACCTAATCCAATCAGTTGGACCTCATCCAATCTGTTGAAGGCCTTAAGAGCAAAGGCTGAGGTTTCCTGAAGAAGGAGAAATTCTGCCTCAAGACTTCAACATGGAAATTTTGCCTGAGTTTTAAACCTTTTGACTCAAACCTGCTGGCCTATCCTATAGATCTTGGATTTGCCATTCCCTACAATCATATGAGCCAATTTCTTAAATCTCTCTCTCTCTCTCTCTATACACACAGAGAGAGAGAGAGAGAGTTGTTTGTTCTGTCTTGTTTTTTAGTGTATCAGACAAAATATAAAGTTGGCAACTTTAAACCAGTCATCCAATTTGGGAAATTTTTACTAGTTCACATAATTTAAAAATCAGAGGGCCACCGTCTTAGATAATCCCTTCCAATTCTAAAATTCTAAAGCTCTAAGGTAACATATTAGGGATTCACCAAGTTAGAAATCAAATCAATAAAAAGAGAACACAAAACATTATAAAGACAAGAAAAGAAATTATTTGTTGGTTTTTAACTATTTCAGATTCTTAACGTCACCCCATATTCTGTACATGATAGAGACCACTGACTCTGAATTCATAAAATGCAGTTTCCCCATCCTATGGGTGAATACTGCAGCCTCAATTCCTGGTAGAGGTTAACATTTACTATGACTTTATTTGAGCCTTCCAATTTTTTCATGGTTAGATAAAAGAGATTATCTGAACCAGCTTCACTAAAATAAATTTTTTTATTTTAATATGATGGAGCAAGGTCACCAGAAAGTCAGGCCCTATGAAGAGGAAAGAAGAGACATGTCCTTTTCCTTTCTAGTAAGCTTAATGTCCTCATAAATGGACAGCACAAAAGCTAAGAAAAGCTGGTTTTCCCTATATAACTAGTTTTAAAATTCAGCCTCGGTAGTGAAAACCGATCAGTAGTCCTTTGACAGGTGACTCTTCAGTGGGTGTAAAGGTGAAATTATAAGTACAGTGATTTACTTGTAAGCCAATAATAGGTGTGCCTAAAGAGCTGTGCAACCAGGAATCAAATTGGCACTGCAGTGGCTGCATTTGGGTAAATCAGTCGATTGTCCACCATAACTCTTGTGGATTATCCCTGTTTAGGGAGAATTAAAATTAATTCATTTATATATAATCTTCAGGAAAATCATTAAAAGCTCCCCCCATAAGACATTAAAAAAAGATTTATAAACCTTAGAGTTTAAGATATTTTTCCAAACTAAAGTATATCTAATTTTAACTACAGTGTTATATTTTGGGGGTCTTCCAAATATTTTCCTCTAATTACATTTGTGCTGAATTCTTCAATTTTGTTGATTTGATTCAATTCTATATAAAAGGCATAGATTATTGCCATAGATCCAGATATATATTGAAAAAATATAGTTGATTTTCATTTAAAAGTTCCAAGTTTCATTTTCTCATTCATCAGGAATACCTCATCTTCCCACACAGCTTTTGCAACATAAATAGGTTTTGATTTTCTACTTTCTTTCTTTTTAAAAAATATGGGCAATTGAAGATGGGTTTTTAATTCTTTCTTGTTCCCATTTCCTGACTCCGTCCAGGGTTTCCATCTATATTGTTGTTCACAAGCATTTAGACATATTTGGTGTCAGGGTATAAATGTATTCACTACTCAGCGACAGAAATGACTTTTCTTTCAACAGGGACAATAGAATCAACGGCTCTGGCTCAATGATGTCTTTGTCTGAATCTTCCTTTTTAATGTTTATGTCAGTTACATACCCATTAACTCTAGCTAAGTTGCAGGGCACCTTTGACCAAGAACACTTAAGTAGAGGTTAACAAATTTGGCTGGAGGTAACTAAGAGAAGTGACATCACAGTGAGTCACATGTCTGGTGCTCCCACTACTGTGACATTCATGATGTAAATTCCCAGGATGGTTCAATTTTATCAGCATTTGAGAGAATAAAGAAACGTTTAAGATGCACAGAAAATCCATCTTCATCTGCTTTGTTTATGGCAAGGGACATTCAAGAGACAGGCAAGACAAGCAAGTGGTGAAGCAATCAGCTATAAATAGTAGAGCCTGTGTTTGTTCGAAGACAGTATGTTCTGTACAGCACTGTGGGTATTTGGATTCTTGCAGAATTAACCTAAAATTTGCAAGTGCAGATGAGAAAAGTAAAGAAAAGAAAAAAGAAAAAAATACCCAAGAGAACATAGCACATCATCCTGGTATTCAGGGTTCTGTTTAGGTTTCATTCTAGTCGCAAGATCGAAAATTTCTATTTTGCCTCCATTGTCTGCTTTTGCAGGGCAGCTCCACAAACTCCATTAATATCCATTCATTTATCGAGCAGTGGAAAGTGTAAAGAAGCCCTCCACGTCCGGGCTTACTGAGTATGACAAACTCCCTTTATTTCTCCTATGAGCGGAAAAGGTGGTTTGGGATAAGCATGATGAGAAGATTAGAAACCAGGCATACGTGCACATGCGTTTTTCCCCCATCAAGGTTGAGTGAGCTCACCAAAGAAGAGAAGGAGGTGACTCGGTGCCCTTGATGTTGTCGTCTCTAGTCCTAGGTCCTGCCCGGGGGCTTCCATAGATGTCACAGCATCTAAGGCATCTGCCTACTCAGCATTCTGGTCAGCAGTCTGCTTTCATAGACTGGAGAGTGTGTCCATTTCCGTGCCAGGCCAGCAACAACAAAAGTTGTAATCCTGCCCCGTGAGAGAGCACAGGTGAGTACCTCAGAGCCTAGTGCGATGTAGTGGTTGCATCTGTTTCTGTAACCTTATCCAAGCCCTCGCATGTGGTCCAGTCTCAGAGTGGCGTTCCGTTCAAGAAGCGGAGTTCTCACCCAAACATGTTTTAAAGGTATTCGATGTATTGATTGCATATCTTGAGAAAGCAATAAAGTGCATACAACTAATGGCCTGTTTGGGATATTTCTTGGATCCCCATTCTTTCACATCTCGTACTCTTTGACACTCCAGATTCTCACTTGCCCGCTCCAATTTCCTCTTTTGCTAGGTCTTTCCCTTCCTCTTGCCTCTTGGGTTCTGTGGTAGTCTCCATTTTCCAATTCTGCATTCCCCCAAACTAGAAGAGTTTGGCAGAGATAGACTGGCTTCAGAGCAAGTGGATAGAAATTGGCCTGATAAATTAGGAGTCAATTGAGAATCTGAATACTCCCTTATGCATATTTGTTATCATATTTATTTTATAATGCTAATACTTCCCACCACAAGTTCTAGTGTTTGTGCTGCTTTCCCTGTGTTGTTTGATATGTTCTATCCTTTTCCCATTTCCCACGCTAGCCTAGCCATCCATCCATTGCCGAAGTATTTTTTGGTTGTGGTGGTTGTTAAGATTGCACCTTTTTTAGTTCTCTCTTATCTCTGATTTCTCTCTATTTCACTTCACTGTCTTCTTGCTAATTTAGAATACCTCCTCAGATTCAGGCCATGTATCCTCTCCCCCTATCCTGAATTTCCTGAACCCTGGGGAAGGGACTAACAGATAAAACAAGGACAGAGCAGAGGCTAGGGACAAAATAAGGAAGATGCACCAGTTTGGGCAGGAAAAGTTCAGCATGCAAGGTGAGGCAGATGTTGATACAGAGAGCAGGAGGTAAGGGTAGAGGGTTTGTCTCTGGGAAAGAAGATCATTTAAAAACTTCATCACAGGCTCCTAGAACGGTTCAAAGAGAAGGGTTCTAAAAATGTCTTGAAGAATGGAAGCATCATCGGAATAATCACACAGCTTTTCAAGGGCATGATTTTGAAGGTGACAAAACCATCTGAAGTTTTACCTTATACTGTGTTTAGGAAAGAATCACTCCCGTGACTTCATAGCCATGTCTCCTACATTCTGTGCTATTATCCTTAGCATCTCTGAAATAAAGTTTGGCCATCATCACTAATCGTGCAGATGTGGCCACCTTTCTTTCCTTTCTTTTTTTCTTTTTTAAACAGAGTGCACCTGAAAGATTAGACAAGGGAGTAAGGCACTAATATACTTCTAAAATGTACACTGTTTAGTAACTATCTGGGAAACCTAAATGCTCTGTCATTTTGCTTTCTCATGTAGGCCGTTGAGAGCTGTTTGTTGCCCTAATGAAAAAAATATGGGAATCCTCCAGCAAGAGCAAAGAGGTTGGATGTAATGAACACTGGGTGTCATATACAACTGATGAATCACTGAACTCTACCTCTGAAACAAATAATACACTATATGTTAATTAATTGAATTTAAATAATTTTTTAAAAAAGAAAAATAAGAGTAAAGAGGTTAAAATAGGCAACAAATGGCTTTCAGAGAGGGTTCTCGGGAATCTGAACAAGTAAGCCCTCATTTCTTCAGCCCTGCCTCTCACTGTTTTTCTGATAGAGTAAGTCTATTTCTTGCCCTTTGCTTTCACATCTGGAGCTAATGTCTTTCAGCTTCCCTTTAGCCACTCCTACCCCTCCATTGTTTAAGGATCAGATCAAGTCCAAACTCTCCCAAGACTCTCTTTTCCCCCAGATCACATTAATGTTTACATTCTCCAATTTCCTATTGAAAAATTTGGGTTCTTGCATTGTTTAGAACTCACTAGTCCTGTAATGTTGCCATAGATGTTAGTTTTGTTTCTGTACCATACAACAAAGGTTTCTCTCTTTTTTTGTTTTTATTTTAAAAATATGGAACGCTTCAAGAATTGGCGTGTCATCCTTGTGCAGGGGCCATGCTAATCTTCTCTGTATCGTTCCAATTTTAGTATATGTGCTGCCGAAGCGAGCACAACAACAAAGGTTTCTGAAGACTAGAATTATTATGCGTCTTTTGTATTTTCTACCCATCTAAGTACGTAATGCATAATGAATCTTTGGTAAATATTAACTAAGTCTAGTTAATCAACAAGTAAATACCCAAAAGTTCAGGATAAAAGACTGTTCTCTGGTAATAAAGAGTTAATAAAGGTCCAAGTCTTGGGAGAACTGTTTAAAATCTGGACTAGAGAAAGTTAAATATTTTGTGGAATCCACTCAATGTATACATAGGTCAGAATATATTAATTATGGTTATTTTTTAGAAAGATGTTTTTCGCACAAGCTACATGCTGAGAAACTGTTATACCAAATTATTGGTTAACCTGTTGTTCAACAAGAAAACAAACTTGACACCTGCAGAGAATTTGTGTGGTCGACCTCCCGTAATATGACTCAATTTTTCTGATTTAAGTGATAACTTCTACCTAAGTTTTAGATCCAACCATAGCTACCCCCATTTCTTAAGCTGTTAAAACATTGCATTTACTCATAAAAATGATCAAATGGAACATTAATCAGCTTAATGGGCTAAATACAAATCTGGCAAAGATCTAGAATGCAACAATAACCACAGCAGGGCAAGGAGACAACAAAACGAAGGTTGAGTCAACTCCAGACTTAAATAATGTGTAAAAACTACAGAGTTTGCATATATAAAGGGTTAAAAATGTTTCTTAGATCATTGGTTAAAAAACTATCTGTGTGGGAGAGCAGGCAAAAAAGTTTGCTCCCCTTTTTCTTTCTTTAAAGGTTAAAGCTGAAGGGGAGCCTCTGAAGCACTCTGTTCATTTTTGTTTTGGTAGGCGGAGTTCACTAACCAAAATGACAACAAACACTGGAACTGGGGACTTACTCTATGGCATCTGTTCAAACCTCTTAACACCAGAGATGTTTTCCTGTCTGATGTATAAGCCAACCAAGCACAAATTAAAAGCAGATGCTCCATAGTTCTCTGAGAATATTTATAGCTTGGAGTCTCCACTTCCTGGTCACCTCTCTACAGCAGATCATCCTGAAGCGGTAGTGAACATTTTGCAATAATGAATGCCCCATTATAGCAGAATTCAACTTCTCTGTTTTGAAATTAGGTTACCCATTTTCTTTCCTCAGTGGAAAAAAAAATATCTTTGCAAAAGGAACTTGAAGCATTTTCCGTACTACATATGTCCTAATTATAAACTCAGAATTTGATGTGTTAACCAAAAATAAGAAGGACAATTTTACTTCTACTTGAATTCCCTCACTTGGTAAATTTCATTTTGGTATAGCCTGTTTTTCAGAACAGTAGGTTGAAATATGGAGAACAGCGACATTCATAAAAATAGAATGCAAAACTTTAGGGTTTCATTGAAAGATACAAATATGCCATTTGGATTCGTAAATCTAGGCTACCAATATTTATTATGTGCAAATGCATAGAGCAGATATTATGGGGATTCAACAAAGAAGCACAATTGTTGCTCTTTGGCTTCATTGAACTTGACATCATTGGGAAGAGAATGTTTGAGTGCATAAAAATGGAAGTTAACAACAGAAAATAATACAATAGGTGTTGCCTGTATTTATACAGAAAATGGTAATTCAAGAGAGAGATTTTAACTTAGCCTGAAATTGACATTCTTTATTATGAAATACAGTAAGAGCAGTCTCACTTGGGAACAGAGTATGGAATAATGGAAAAAGGAAATGTATTAATTTACTCAGAAAATGCCAATACCCTCAAAGAGATAAAGCCCTGGAGTAGGAGCAGTGAATACAAGAAGAATTAGAGCCCCCAGAGAGGTAATGTGCCCACATAAAATGTGTCCAAATTTTTGCTTCCTGAAGCAATCTCAGAGTTCCCATTCTACAAAATAATTATTGTCCTCTGTCTTCTTGAAACTTTATTGTAAGTGACACTTTATTCCTTGGATGGCTTTCTTTTGACTCTTCTTTTCCTTCCTTAAACTCCACCTCCTTCCATGAAGTACTTCCTACCAAATAAAGGAGGGGGTAATGAGGCCTTCTCCACCCAGAAGCAACTGATTGAAATGAGCATGTCCTCAACTTGCTTCACTCCCCACCACACAAAATGCACTTACCACTTGTCTCAAATACAGTATCAATCAGAGGGTATTTAGTTCGTGTGGTTTCTGTTTAGTTGTCTTTCTCCTTTTTCTGTCGGTGTGTTTCTATCCAAGACAACCATGAGCTCCAAACAATATTTAACACGGCTCTATTAAGCAAATTAATGCTTCAAATGACAATTCAGGTTAAGAATAAATATAGTGCCTTAGACATTTAAAAAGGAATTCATTTTGGGCGCCTGGGTGGCTCAGTTGGTTAGGCGACTGCCTTCTGCTCGGGTCATGATCCTGGAGTCCCGGGATCGAGTCCCACATCGGGCTCCTTGCTCGGCGGGGGGTCTGCTTCTCCCTCTGACCCTCCCCCCTCTCATGTGCTCTCTCTCTCTCATTCTCTCTCTCAAATAAATAAATAAAATCTTTAAAAATAAATAAATAAAAAGGAATTCATTTTATTTTAACATTTGTAAGTCATAGCAGGGCTTACGGAGAAAATTTCCAACCCTTAAGTAGACTACACAGGTGTCATCATTTTAAAAAATGAGACATTTCAAATCTTTTCTCTTTACCAACTCATAATTGTTGAAGTGTTAAAAATGATGCAACAGAAGTGAAAAATTTGGTGAGGTAGGGACACAGAGGGAGTAATGGAATCTAGAAGGATTCTAAGAGCATAGATGTGACATAGGACCATAAAACTCCCTATAAATTACCTAGAGATTTCAGTGACCCCCAACACCTCCATTCCTCAGCACTGAGATGCCTATTCTGTTTCTTCTCATCAGATAATTAGGTTCCCATGAAAGACAGGGCAATAGTTGCCCTCGGATCCCCTCCTCCACACTCCATTTCTTGTTAGCCAGCAAGCTATACCCATAGAGTTCCACAGAAAGAATAGCCCCTGAGGTCTCTGCCCCTTTTTTGTTTCATTGAATCTAAAACTGAAGACTTTCTTATCTGAACTTATTGTTCCACTGCATTTAATCTGTTGAAAGTTACTAGTAGCAAATTCCTGCCAACCAAAAAATTAAAAATTTTGCTCTTTGTGTTGAAATTGCACAGGCCCTGGATTCAGGTTTATAGATTTATATCCAATTTTTGCTTCTTCTGAGTTATTTGGTCATAGGCAACTAACTTAACATGTTCTTGTCTCAGTTTCCTTAAATGTGAGATGGCAATAAAATAATACAAAAAGGAATCATTATACTCACAATCGACACTAAACTCTAGCCTCTCTCTTATTAACTTGCAACCCATCTTCAGAAAATATGGAATATTCTGGGATACCTTGGAACGCTGCTCATAGGGAGCATGATTTTCCTGAGATGATCAAGCTCTAAAGATAAAGTTGATAATGGGTCTCCAGACACACAGATGGCATCAGTGTGATTGCTAGGTACTACGTTCTGCCCTTTGCATAATGGGTAGCCCCACAGCAGGGAGAAACAAGTACTCTCAGAGGTGCCTATTCTGAATCATGAATTCACCTTGGACACTGGTAACTCTGTTGTATGGGCCCCCCAAAACTGTTGGCATATTTCACTGGCTATACTCTGTTCAAACCATTGGTATTTCTGGGTCCACTATTCTGCCTCTACAGAATTTTTTCTCTCATTTGGAAGGATCCTTCTCAAAAAATATTGCTAGGTTAATTTCCTTTAATATTTTCCTTGTCTCTCAAGACTTCAAATCCCCAAGAATAATAGTATTCTGTTAATGAAGTTAGTAATAGTAGTTGTTGATATATAATAATAGCAGTACTATAAGTAGCTGAGTTGTACATATCACTTACTAGGTGCCAGATACAGTGCTTTACATATATTAATTCTTTGAATCCTTCCAACAGCCCTCTGAAGAAGATACTATTCTAATCACCATTTTACCGACGAGGAAGCTGTGGCACAGTTTGGTTAGCAAGATACCCAAGTCTTATGGCTAGATAGTGGCAGAGCTGGGATTTGAGCCCACGCAATCTGGTTCCCAAGTTCTTACTCTTCACCTCTATGATGTACAGCTTCTTTATTAATTAATTATAAATTAGAAAGTGACAGAAGCAGTATTCCTCAAAGCCCCTAACCTTAATCTGTGTATAAAATTGTCCCAGGTGTATACTCCTAGCTTCTTCCAAACTGGATGGAAAATTCCATTTACGTTTTTGTTACTTTTTATAACCATTCCATAACGTCATATCAGGAAGATGTCTTTAAAATAATCTGAAGCAAACGGCTTTTAAAAATTCAAATATTTATTCTTAATTTATAATTGATGAGAAAATACTTGCTGGGTAGGGAGGGATTAGTATGTTCATAAACAAAAGTTCGGAGTGTGTGTGGAAAACAGTGAGTTATGTGTTTTGATTGGAGACTATGGGCGGGTAATAAATCTTGAAATTTGACAGGAAATATGCCTGGAGAGGTAGAATGTGGGCAAATCATGGAGGTCCTTGAAAGCCTGGGTTGGAGTTGTAACAAACTCTATAGACAGTGGGGGATCCTCTGAGAGCTCTGTGGGGCGCCAGGGTCCAGGCTGACTTAGGGAGATTCCTGGAATGGTAGCAACTGAGGTTAAGAAGCAGAAGTAGGAAGATTAGGTAAAAGGCCTTTGAGTACTTCCATTATATCTACCAAAAGACATGCAGGAATGTTTATAGCTCTGCATTCATAATAGCAGCTTTATTCATAAAATCTATAAATGGAATACGAAATAGTAATTAAAAGAACCTGCTACTGTACACAATATGAATGAATCTCAGAGACATAATGCTGACTGAAAGAAGCCAGACAGAAAAGAATATATGCTAGATGGCATGACATGACATGTCCAATGACAAGAAGTTCAAGAACAAGGAAAACAAATCTGCGGTGAGAGAAGTCAGAATAGTTACCTCTGTGGAAGCAGATGGTGTCTATTGACTGAGAAGGGGCATGGGTTTTCCTGGGGTGTTGGAAGCATTTTATCTTTTGATCTGGATGGGATTACATGGTTTACATGCATACACCCTGCATATATATGTGAAAATTCATTGCATTGCACAGTATGATTTGTGCGCTTTGCAGTATATATGCTATACCTCAGTAAGAAGATTTTTAAAAAGATTATCATGATCAACTGTACTAATAATTATAGAAATCTCCCAGTGAAGAGTTCCCTTTATTTTTCTCTAATTGAAAAACAAAAAAACCAAAAACCCAGAGTATTTCTTCTTCTCCTACTTTAGATTTTCTTCCTGGTTGGTTGGGTGATCTCTCTGTAATTCACTGAATCAGTGGCGAGGGTGGAGGGGTTTAGGAAGAGCTGGAGAAAGGAGAAAAGGCTTTCAAGGTGGTGGAGGAGAGGGGAGGAAATGAATCAACCTCTTTGGGTGTGATGCAATGAAGGCTGTACCACTCAGAGGAGAGAGCTTCTCTTCCTCTTACAATGATTTCAACATAGCTTCTCTGTTTTTGTTTCCTTCCACCAAAGCCACTGTCTCATGTGAATGAAACAAGGCAGGTCCCTGTGATTAACCCATTTTCACATAAAATAACCAGGGACTATTTTTTTTAACTGGAAGCTAATGGGTAATTTGTTTATAGAGCATACAAAGGGTTTGTAGTAATTGGACTATATGAATACCTACAAATGTGTAAATGGAAAGTAAGTTGATTCTCTTGCAGGTTTACCTATATGGAAATTTGCAGTTCTGAGATGATCACATGGTTTTGTAAATAAGCTGATGGAAACCAGACTCAGATGTATTTATATTTTTTACAACTAGTGCATTTGAAAACTCTTTCAACAAATATTTGCTGAGCAGGTTCTATGTGTAAGATAATGCACTGGTGTTGTGGGGAAACCAAAATAAATGAGGTGTAGTGTTTGTCCCCAAGGAGGT